AGTCATCAGAGAACATTTGTAGACATTCTGTATAATTTCATGTTTGCTAGATAATGATACATAATCACCAGGAAGGTGATAAATACTCATCACTCATCATACATCTCATGTTTGATCATTCATCTGTTAGATGAAAAAAAAAAAAAAGAGAGAGAAAAAAAATTGTTTATGTTATTATTTTGTCATGTGGGGACACATGATACATTGAGGCGTGGGTAATGTGACGATCGGGCTCGGGATTCAATTATAGACGGGCTTTATCATTAGGGGTATGATGGAAGCCGAGGTTAGTCCGGGTGTCGCTGGTGTATATATAAGAGCGCATCCGAGGTAAAATTGTCATTCTGTGTTTGGCTGTCGAAGGAGAAGGTTGCTAACAGGTACGGTGGTTAGAGTTAATAAAAAGAATTATAGTGTTAAATACAACTGCCCAGTGTTGTATTGTGTTTTCTAGCTTGTTACGGAAAATACAGTGGCATTTAACTGTATATACGAGCGGTGGATATATATCTAGTACCTGGCTGCAGCCTGTATAAGATCAAAAGGACACAGCCGTCTTGGGACACAGCCTACAGAACACATCCCAGAGACACGTCCCACGGACAGATACACAGGACAGAGCCCTGTCCTTAAGAAATTACCTGTTATTAGTTTTTATATTAAAGGGATAGATAACCCTAGATATATGTATATGTATATATTGACTCGTTCTTATATTAGCTTTTGTACATAATTTTTGTAATTTTGATCATTTTTATACATCCTCCCAGACAGGTCCAAATCATCGGACCCAAAACACGTTACAGAAGCAACCGAAAAAGACCCAAAAACAGGCATTAAGTGCAGTCATCCTTTTTTTTATTTAAATAATTTCAAACCAGTTTGTTTTAACCTTGTTAAAAACTTCTTTAAAGTCATCTAGATGCTTTGATTAGTACATGTAGCATTAAAAATAAAATGTAATTGGCAAAATCTGTGTTAAGTGTAGAATAGCTATTTTGTTTATTCAGTGCATGCAGCAATCGCCTTAGATATTGAACACACACAGCTAACAAAAGTAGTAATAGGGGATAGAAAATAATGAGTGAGAATTTGAGTATAATTTGTAAAAGATATCAAACATAAATTATTATCAAATAAATATAAATCAAATCATTATCAGAATTGGAGGTGCTTTTTAAAACCGAAAGTAGAAAAAAAAAACATCGTTGATGAGGAAAAGTGGCAAACAAGGCTGCTGATTTTACCTTCAGATACATTAAGTCAACTTACATAAATGTACTAAAAGTTGGATGAGAAATGGGCTTGAAATTAACACAGAGTATCAAGTCTAAAGTCAAATACATTAGGCCAAAATAAAAAATACCTTTGTTTCCCCTAACGCGACCGACCCAATTAAAACGTGCCGACTGGAAAGTTTTTTTCCCTAAGATTATTCAAATACTTTTTTTTATGTTTATCAACTTCTATAATACAAAATTCCATCAAATCTGTTTTTAATCAGATCGAATGATTTTCTTCTCTGATTTTCAAGCGTTTATTGGAAACAAAATAGCGCCTACAACATATGTTCACGGAGGGTTAGTGCATGTTTTAAAAGAAAGGCAATGCATCAACCTTATGCCTTTAGCATATTAGAATCCTGCACTCTTGAAACACTTTGTTTATAAAATATAATATCCAATGACTAATTGAAAGTGTTTGGGTTGTATTTACTAGCCTGTCTTAAAATTAAGGTACGTAGAGAGCATGCTTAGGCCCATAGGCCCTCCTCATGATACCCCTCATGAGCAGACAAGGGGCCCACCTTGTGAAAACACCAATCAGTTTCGTTGCATTTTATTTAATTTGAGTTTTGATCTTATACACAGTTCATCAATATTCCAATGTTTTGCTATATGGGACCATAGGAGTTGTAAATGTCTGCATATTTCATCCTAATGAATAGAATTCATATGTCCTTTATTCCTGCCTTTTAATCATGGATTAAACTTCGTAACTTTGACATTGTGTATGACATCTTATCATTTTTAGATATTGTTTGCCTCAATTAAATATTGTTAACATGCTTTTTCCAAAAGATTTGAAATTATGATACAAGCTTCCTGAGACGTCCGTGTATTTTTATTTAATAAGGACCTGGAAGATTGGTTGTTTCTTTATTTGAATCTCTTTGATAATTAATTGTTGGGAAAACAACATTTATTTAAACATTTGTCTGGTGAAGGACTCCACTCCAAATTTAGACGTGTACTCGGCACTTAAGGTATGTCACTCGTCAGCCTTTCAGAAAATTTCAGTCAGAACCTCTTACTTAAAAACTATTTATTACAATTCAATTTTTATAACATATTTAAATTAAACAATGTAAAATGTTCAACATTCAATTTAAAAACTGCTCAAAAATTCATAAAGAAGCAAGATTTATAAGGGACTATTTCTTGTGGTGGAAGGATATTTAGCAGAAAATTCTGCAAATCTACACATTTATTAAATTTAATATCTTGGAACTTAAGCCTCACATACTTTTACTTAGAGAATATTTTCCGTTATGATATGCCTGGAATATTAAATATAGGTCTCAATTTATATTTTTATAACAAAATTTACACCTCCTCTCAACAAACTTTGCCAAGAAATGAAGATATATTAAGGAAGTTGAGATAAAATTTACACATTTTTTTGCCTGAAAATCGCATATTTTGACCAATATTTCAAAATTTACATCACTGATCCCAACTTTTTCTTTCATTAATTTAAACTACTCGATACTTTTGACCGATCAGCACTTTAGTCGTAAAAAGTTTGATACAAGAAAATATTCTATTGCCTATTTAGATTTTTAATACCCCAAATATGAGACTTTTTTAGTGCAAAAAGGTCACACAATAATTTACGCGCATTAATTTGCATGATTTGTTCAATGATAAATATTATTCAAACTATTTTACGTAAAATAAGATTATGTTTATTGCCATGGTTACATCTTATAAAATATGATAACGGTTAAAGTGATTAACCAAAGAGTTACAATTTAAGTGCAAAAAGGTCAACTTAATTGTACCGTAGTTCAGTTAGATGCACACTGACCCCCCATTTTCTCTGCGATTTTGAGTCATACTATATGAGTACTTATCCAAAATATACTTCTCAAAAAATCCTTGATATAACAAATTTCACGAGTGACATACCTTAAGGCCATGAGCAGTGAGAATTGTTTTTCCTGTGCCAGTATCTAATGCGTAACTGGACCTAAGTTTTTACTGTGCCATTCGAAGAACTGGTCTCAACGTACGTCCCGCATTGGGATTTGAACCTGCAACTTAGAAATAGCTTCTTACTTCGAGACTCTAAAACAAAATGCTCTAGAACCACTGCACAGTTCGAAGCCCTTGAAAAAGTACAAAGCAATGGAAGCTGATAGTAGGTATAAAAAAATACTCTGGTGTCCAGTCTTTGCGTACCCGAGAATCTTTTCAACAGATGTATTCGATTTTTAACAAATTTACTCTGGTATGAGATGATTCGATTGAATATAATAGTTGTGAATTAATTTACCTTAAATGTTGAGTTTAAACTGCATTTGTATGGTATTCTAGCTGTTTACAAATCACTTTCTTTTGTACTTAACTTATTTATAAAGATATCATTCCATTAAATTTTAAGAATGTATTTTCAAAGCTGCTGTCAAAAAAAAAAATTATTTGCCTACCTACCTACCCATCTTGAGACTTTAGGGTCGAGTTAGGGGAAACAAAGATATTTTTAATGATGGCCTTAACTGATGTTGTTCAAACTTTAAAGTTGATACCCGCAGGTTCAATGTTTCTTCTAATATAAATTTTTAAAATTTTTGATGAGTTTTCACTTGATATATCATTTTCCATAAAAAAAGTCCTTTACAATTTTTCTAATTTCTAACCCCCCCCCCTTTTTTAATTTTTTTTGTTTTGTTTTTTCCACAAATTAATACAAGCTGACAAAAAGAAAATAAACCATCTTAAGGCCTTATAAATTTTAAGCATGTAACAGAAAACATGTCTATTCCCTTTTCTTATCACAGCATAAAGTGCCTTTCTGCCCATGTACAATCATGCATGTAGGGGGAAAAAATCATTGTCGAACATTTTTCCTTTATAAAATCAAGGCCACATTAATGATACTAATATTCAGAATCCTCATTTAGGTTAGATTAAATTCGGTTATGTCATGAGTCCTTAAGCCTAGGGTGGACCCACAATTTTTCATGGGAATGTAGAAAATTCTTTCAAAAACAACCTTTTGAAGAGCAGCAATATCGAAAGTGGCTCAAATGAGCATTTTGGCCATTATGCTTCTTTGTATAATTTTCAGAAGAAAAAATAAAATATTTTTCCTACCTACCTACCAATTGTTAAAAATCTGAGTCAGAAAAGGGCAAACAAACATATTTTAAATTTTAGTCTTGGGATATGACATGAAGTTGGTATGTGATCAAATCTATTATATATGTATTTACAATTTCCACATGTATTTCGCTTAGAAAGTGTGTGGAAAGCTGCGGCATTCAAAACACCATAACACAGACAGGGGGTCAAAAGGTTAAAGTATACGTTTTATTTTGACAATACAGAAGTTGAGCACCATGCAAGTGCAACACCATAAGAGAAAATCAAAATTCGCGTCACATTGAACAGAAGCTGATCAATGCTTGAATGATGCCCTAAGTTGATATGTGATCAAATCTACTATATCGTTATATTTGTAGGAAAACCTTAACATGAAGATTTGTTTCAATTTTAATAAAAATAGAAAAAATATCATATATCATCATGATTTTATTGATAAAAATTTTTTGATATATTGCAATGGGAAATTTTTGGCAATACCCATGCATTCCTAATCTATTTGGAATGTAGTCAAATATTTAAAATAGCTTTATTTACTTTTTTCCTTGAACTTGAAATCATGTACTACGTGAAAATGGTCATACAAGTATGCTGTAAATGTCAATTATATACCTGTGTGGAATGGTGTTAAAAGCAGTTTGAACCCATCATCAGTATTCCAGAAGTCAGATACAAATCTGAATGTCAGTGAATCCCCACTGGACATGTACGCTCCTCTAGGCTCGTTCTCCCCGCAGTAGCTTCTAGCCAGGCCTGTAAAAGGGTATAAATTCTATAACATATCAAGTTTCTAAATACCGTAATCTTTTAAGTCTTATGCAAGGAAAACACATAGGTACTTTTCTTGAGGAAAATATTGACATCCAATAAATACATGTAAATAATACCTAATAAATCTTCATATAAAGGCCCAAGAAATTTCAAAATTCAATGCGGCAGACAGGTTCTTTTTTTTTTTTTTGGAAGCAGGTATTATACCTTTTTTTAGACGTCAGTCATTCAAAAAATGATATCAACTGATTCTTGTTTTTTTTGGTTCTCTTACATTTAACAAGAATTCTATTGTTTATCTAATATTGATTGATTGATTGAATGTTGTTTTACGTCCCATTCGAGAATTTTTCACTCATATGGAGAAGTCACCATATACCGGTGAAGGGCTTCAAATTTTGACCTTTACTCGGCACACAGGGCGATGAGGGATCTTTATCGTGCCAACGCCTGCCGTGACACGGGGCCTCAGTTTTAAAGGTCTCCTCAGAAGGACCTGCAACTTTCACTTCAAAGTGCCGGGCGCATGGTGAAGGAACAGTTGCTACCCATTTTTTAACGACTTAGGTCAGTCACGGCCGAGATTCAAACTCACGACCTCCCGATCACAAAGCGAGCGCTCTACCGACTGAGGTACAGTGAACAGTGTGTTTATCTAATAAAAACATCTATTAGCATTTATGAAAAGAGGAATAACTCAATTTTCTTTTTCAACTTGGAAAAATAGAAAATTGAGTTATTTCCCTTTTCAATATGTTAATAAAATTGATCAATGCGGCAGTGTTTGACCTGATGCGACAGTGCCCGAGAAACTATTGATTAATTTATTTTGGCTTAATTGATGATGAATTTTAAAATAGTATGAGAGTAAATGAAAATTCAAACTAAAAACAAAATAAAATAAAACAAGAGGCCCAAGGGCCTTAATGGTCACCTGAGTATAATACAACATTGAAGAGGATCCATATAAGTATAAAACAAAATTAACTGATAGACGAAGCAATGTTGCCCAAGAATTTCAAAAATCTGGTAAAAATACCCTTGCTTATTGTAACGTGCTAGAGCCAAGTGATCTCCTTGGGATCATACTTGGTTTTCCCATGTCTTACAGGGATGATAATGAATGCAAAATATACAAATACAATTGACACTTGCCTATTGTGCAAGGCATTAAATATATACAGATATGTTTTTGTCGCTTGCCTAGTGCTACAATTCAGTAAACACAGACTTGGGTATACAACTTGTCTATTTGCCATTTGTCACTCATTACAATAAGTCACCCTGGCACTCTGTGAATTCTTTGTTCACTTCGATAAAGTATAAAACAACTGTCAACCATGACTACCAGTGACAAGAACTCATCACACAAGATCACCATGGTGTAAACATACTGTATAGAGATGAAACTTTTGCTAAGTATATAAATAATCTTTATGTCAACCTTTTATATTGCCTTCCAGGCAAGAATCTGACTTTGAGCATGCTTTGCTCATTTAAACCAAACATTCATTTTTATCTAAATTTTCTATATATATTACATTCTTTCTTGTATTCTCACTGAATCAAATAACCTGTTAATTAAATTATATACAAGGATCATCTAACAAAGGGGAGTAACTATGAGAGTAACTCTCATTTGCTTGTGTACTCTGTTTGCCTCCTAGATACCAATGAGCAAAGAAAAAGCACATTCACAGGGTTTGACATGAACTTTTATGAGTACTAGACCAGTTGGGCTACTTCCAATAATTTTTACAAGCCCTGACCATAAAATCACTAGCCCTGACCAAACTTGAAAATTCACTTTTTATAAACTGCTAATTATAATGGACAAAAAGTTTCGAAACCATACTTCAATAAAGATACCGTTTCTTGCACCTGTTAAGATATATTTTGACAGACTCTTCCATAGGTAGCTAGCCATAAAGTTGGGTTAAGCGTGACACACAAATATTATAAGCCTTAATTAAGGAACAATCAATGAACGTAGCATAAAAATAATTACCCTAAGTATAAATATATTGTGAATTAAAAAATACATTATTCAATAAATTCATACTAATTTTAAATACTGAACGAAGCTAGTTCCCATTGCAACTTGTCTATTACAGCCGGGCTAAAAATAGCAATTGTGTCATGAGGGGAAGCTTTCTTTTACAGAGCGATGGGTGATGTTTACTATCAGACAAATAACAATTTAAAAAAAAAAAAAAATAAAAAGACTTTTTAGAATATTTATTTGAAGGACTGAAATGAAGGTTATCATTTATTTCATACACATGACCAGTCGGTCTAGTTCACGAACATTTTACACAACCGGACCACTCATTTACTAGATTGGGTCGGTCGGATGTGCCTTAGTGTCAAACCCTGATTTACTTATAATTTATATTATTGCATTTAGTTTGTTTGTTTGCTTAATACGCAGGGGCAGAGGAGAAGATTTTCAAAGCATTAATGCATTTTTGCTAATTAATCAATAGAGCCCAACCCAAGCACAAGAACCCCTGACCAAGGGGCTATGAAATTCACAACTTTGGAAGAGGCACCCTTTCTCATCATAACTATGTATTTAGATTGTTTGCTTAATACCAAGGGACAGGGGAGAAGATTTTCAAAGCATTAATTTGTTTTCAGTATATAATAAATAAGTCCCCCTCCCCCACAGAACCCCTGACTCAGGGGCCATGAAATTCAGAATTTTGGAAGAGGCACTCATAACTATGTACTTCGTTCATTGGCTTAATACCCAAGACAGAGGAGAAGATTTTCAAAGAATTAATGCATTTTCACTATGTTATCATAAGAGCTCCGTCCTAACACCAGAACTCCTGACCCAGGGGCCATGAAATTGACAAATTTGGAAGAGGCACTCTTCCTCATCATAACTATGTACTTAGTTCATTGGCTTAATACCCAGAAGCAGTGAAGATTTTCAAAGAATTAATGCATTTTCACTATATAATGAATTTCATAATTTTTCTCCCCTTCATCCATAGATGCTATATGCTAAAATTGGTTCTGTGGTTCCAGAGAAGAAGCTAAAAATGTTCAAAAGTTTACGACCGATTGACGACAAACGACGACAGACGAAAACAGATAGCAAAAGGTCACTTGAGTGACTCATAGGGCTGTATCAATATATCGATAAATTGATACTTATCGATATTTAAGAATGTATCGTATTGAAAAAAAAACTTCCAATACATAAAGGACGGGCAGATTTTCTCATAAATGCTGTGAAAAAGTTGGGAATTTCAATCACCAAAGGTTATATTTTCACTGTTTTGAATTAAAATTGATCAATAATGATATAATCATTGACATTAAGGAGATAGTGATCGAGACAAGACTTTTGGAATGGGTCATAAAACAATTAGTTTTTATAAAATTCATGCATTAAATGATTTATAAGACATTTTTTTAAGACTTTAAGACTTGTTAAAGAATCCAATATATTGGATATCGCATTATAAAATATTGCATCAAATTTTTTTGCTCAATACACAGCCCTTGTTACTCAGGTGACCTAAAAAAACAGAATGAAAAATATTAAATGCAAAACACAATCATATACATTGTACATATAGAAATCACTTATACCTGGGACTTTAGATGAAGAAGTAGAGGGTCCATCATATATGTACAATTGATCACTGCAACCAAAAAGGTTTGAGCCCTTGATATCTAACTTTCTGAATACAAGCATGAGCCGTTTATTGGTGGTAGTGTTTGTCCTGGAGGTGGGAGCAGCTTTCACTGTGAGGGTACAGTCCATATTATTTTTATACTTGCTGTACCGGGTCAGATCTAGACGAATGGATGGAAGGCCGCTGATTGTAAGTGTATCCCCACATCTTATATCCATGTAATCTGTAAGTTAACAAAGCTTTCAGTAATTTGTAATCAAGCAAGACCAATGATTAAATCTAATTAAATTTACAATATTTAACATGATAGTATATTACACATAATACATTTTTCAATGATGCACTTAAAATTTTTTTTTTAAGAGTCAAAATGATAAGACCGACATCACATTTTTATAATCAACAGTTAATGGTAACTTTTTAGACCATATTTTTTAAAACATTCAACATAGTTTCATAACATTTTTTTTAGTTTGGCAAAGCCTGGCAGGGGCAGGTGGAGTAGGGTCAATTTGTGCCACCTTGGTTTCTTTTGTCCAGTTTCACTATCAGTTTTTCCCACACCAGTTTTTCAAGTTCAGCCATTTTATATTTTGGGGAAATGCAACTGGAATATCAATGTCATGTGACCCAGTTTCAAAAATGCTAATTATTTGCATCTCCCTTTAGTGCAAGTGTCAATTATAATTCAAAACATGAACATTTCTTGGCTACAGTAAGAAAAAGTACAGAAATCTTGAAAACTGCTATACACACTTCCATAATTATTGTTTCATATATTAGTAGGGATGTGCGAATTTATCAGTATACCCAGGGACCTATATACTAATGGGATAGGCAACTCCTTCAGCACCATGTTTATTCACCCAAAACGGCACACACAACACTGCAAGTTTTTTCAAACTACGTTTTTTCCCAGTAAAAGGCTTATTTTCTGATTAATGCAATCTGTTCTCTTTGTGTATCGGTATGGATATTTAATAAATTTTAAAGCATGTATGATATTAAGTAAACAGCCCCAAAAATCGTTGATTTCTCGGAAATACAGCCGATCAGGGGCACACGCTGATTTTTAAATAAACGTAATTACTTCTAAGATAAGGAGTAAAAACAGTGCTAATAACAAATCTTGAATAATTTTTTGATAGATAAATTAAGATTTTATTCTGAAATATTTGGTAGCAAAAGAGATATATTTAATTAAAATTGACTTACGAAATCCCGCAACTTACGAGATATCGCGAGACTTGCGAGAGTTGCCAATCCCATTAGTATGAGGTCCCTGGTATACCAGTATATCATGATTTTTAATTCCACGATATGTATCGTGATACAGAGACTGAAATACAGGTATTCATTATGTAATTATAAATTCCAGAAATAATAATTTTTTTTGTTCTCACTCTTGAATTACAAGAATTGTAAAAAATGTTGTAAAACAACGGCATCCCAGCATACAAACATGCTTTATTTGTATATAAATAAAAATGAAAAAAGTGAAGTTATGTTTTCAGACTATATTTGTTAGGAAAAAACATGGAAATTCATTTAAAATCATGGTAAAAATTATATGTAAAAATATCATGATATTATCGTGATATTTTTGGGAAAAAATTGTGATGTATGATAATATCATGATACAAAATTAAAATTTTTGGCGATACCCATCCTTATATATTAGTAGTATTTACAAATTTTCATTGCACTTTTATCAGTCTGGACAGCTATTCACATTACCATGCCATGATTACATATCAAACGTACGTCTATCAGTCAAGACTGGACTGTCATATAAATACATTGCAAATTTTAACCTTTATAACAAGCACTTCATTTGCATTGACATTTTTGTATCTTCCAGAAACTTAACTAATATGGAAAAGAAATGAGAATAGTACCATGTTGATGTTAACTATCTTTACTGTTGAGTATACATGCATGTCTAATGGCTGATAAACATACATATTTAATAAAATAAAATACCCTCCAATTTGGTAGTTATTAATCAAGGTTTATCGAAATTGAATAAATCAGTATCAAAATATTTTTATTACAGAAAGATCCATAGAAAATAAATTGAAGAACATGTTTATTGATTTACACAAACCTCCATCTTGATCTACTGAGCCACTGGAAATTGTTCAGGCCCCGTACAATCACTACATATAGCTACATATCTTGAATTACCTATGTAGCTTTATTCAGATACCTGAAGAAGCTTAATTAGGCTATTTCAATGCAATTTTTTTTAAGTTTGCATATTATTCAAAATAGACAACAAATAACAATTAAGTATGTCACTACTTATATTTGTACAATCAAGTTTTAAAAAGCAACATGCAACCCAGAGCACACATAAACCTATATATTGCTGCTTTCATAAGATGCCTTTCCATTGTTTATCTGTAAGTAATGGTTTGGGCTGAAATATCACCAATCAATCACAGGTCTCAGTTATAGTTATATCAGGTTTCAGTTATCTGGTCATCTTATTTACATATGTGCTTCATTCAAGAGGTGACTGATTAGTCAAAAACCAACTGCATGTTGTTATACCCCTAACACTTTTAGAATTTTTATTAAAATTGTGCTGAAAGAATGATTTTTTCCATGAATTGTGTTCAGATCAGTTCAAATTTGAAAATTATTACTGCATCGATCAGAGTGTGATTTTTCTTCTTCTTCTGAAAAATGCTAATTTAAGACATAAGTATGAATTAATAGCTTTATAAAGCTACTTCAAGTAGGTTAATAAATTTATGAAGGTAATTCAAGCTACATAGCTAAATGTTGTGAATGTAAGTACTGGATCTTGTTATTGTATTTTTCCCTCCCAAATATTAATATTCTAACTTTATTCACAGGAGTTCACAATTTTCTCAATAAGTCAGCAGGTCTGGTACAATCACTAGATTAAGCTATGTAGCTTGAATTACCTAAATAGCTTTATTTATACCTACCTAAACTAGCTTTATTTAGCTACTAAATCAAGCTTATTTCTTAAATTAGCATTTTTCCCAGATAGTACAGAAAATTGCACTTTGATGCAGTGATAATTTTCAACTTTGAACTCAACTGAAAACAATTCATGAAAAAATCCCTCTTGGAGATGTCTTTTTCTGCGCAATTGCGATCAAAGTTCTAAATGTTTTGGGGATTATATACAACAGTTAATTTGTGACCTAACAGCAGATATACTTACAGTATATAGGTCCCTGCTAACAGTTACTTCTTGAGTAAAATAACAAAGAAAACCAGTTTTGGTTAACATGAGCACAAGTGTGATACTTATCGATGCCTCATCGCATACAAGGTGGTGTACAGCTGGTTAGCTACTCAAACAATGGAAATACATATTTTCCTCAAAATTGTTCAAACACAGCAATGTTTAAACTATCTCTGCTTTAGTAGACATTTACTTGCGACTTTTTGTCTTTTTAAAATAATAAAAGGCCTAAGCGCCTGAACAGTCACCTGAGTACAATACAACAACTAAGAGGATCCATAAACTGGTAAATGTAGCTTTGTTGCCCAAAAGCAAGAAAAATAGTATGATTAGCATCAACAAAATAATTGGTCTAGTATCTGTCCCCCATTTATCACTACTACCATGCAGACTACTTAACAAAATGTCTATTTTATAACCCCATATTATTACTTCTCACATTGGCCTCTCTTGGCCTTTGAAGAAACTTAAAAAGATAAGTTATTTTTGTCTCATTTTTATTCATCTATTACTTCCAAGTCTACCTGATCATTAAAACTATGAAAGTACTTTTTGTATTATACAATAAATATTCTTGCATAATACTCATATATTCTATTAACCTTTCAAATACATTGTTTACAGTGATTAATTATCAAAGGTGAATGGCAAAGAGGAATAACTTTGCTCAGCAGAATACAATTTAATAGAGCCCTGGCCAGGACCAGAACACTTGACTAAATGGTCCAGGTGTTCAAAATTCTGGTAAAAATACATTTGCATATTAAAACTTCTACTCTGTTTGCATCAAATATGCCCAGAAGCATAGAAGATTTTCGAAGAAATGCATTTTCACTATATTTAATATTAAATAAATAAAGCCCCACCCTTACACCAGAACATCTGACCCAGGGGCCATGAACTCACAATTCTGAAAGAAACGCCCTTGCTCATCATAACTATACACTTGTTTCTTTGTTTTATAACCAGTAGTAGAAAAAATATTTTGAAAGAAATTATACATTTTCACTATATAATCAAAGAAGATTTTCACCCCCCCCCCCCTCTCTTCTTCACCAGAACCCCTGACCCAGGGGCCAGGAATTTCACAATTTTGGAAGAGGCATTCTTCCTTATCATAACCATGCACTTCCTTTGTTTGAATAATGCCCAGGAGCAGAGAAGAAAATTTTGAAAGAATTTATGCATTTTCCCTATACATAGACTCAATAGAGCCCTGCCCTAGCACCAGAACTCTTGACCCAGGGGCCATGAAATTCCCAATTTTGGAAGATGCAACCATTCTCATCATAACTCATCATCACTATGTACTTAGTTTATTTAATATCCAGGAGCACAGAAGAAGATTTTCAAAGAAGAATTAATGCAATTTTACTATATAATCAATAGAGTCCCGCCCTAACACCTGAACCCTGGGGCCATAAAATTCATAATTTTGGATAAGGCACTCTTGCTCATCATAACTTTGTACTTAGTAAGTTTATCTAATATCCAGGAACAGAGAAGAAGATTTTCAAAGAATTAATGCATTTTCACTATATAATCAATAGAGCCTCGCCCTAACACCTGAATCCCTGACCCTGGGGCCATGAAATTCACAATTTTGGAAGAGGCACTCATGCTCATCATAACTTTGTACTTAGTAAGTTTATCTAATATCCAGGAGCAGAGAAGAAGATTTTCAAAGAATTAATGCATTTTCACTATATAGTCAATAGAGCCCCACCCTAACACCTGAACCCTGACCCTTGGGCCATGAAATTCTCAATTTTGGAAGACACTCTTGCTCATCATTTAAACTATGTACTTAGTAAGTTTATCTAATATCCAGGAGCAGAGAAGAAGATTTTCAAAGAATTAATGCATTTTTACTATATAGTCAATAGAGTCCCACCCTAACACCTGAACCCTGACCCTTGGGCCATGAAATTCTCAATTTTGGATAAGGCACTCTTGCTCATCATAATTATAAACTATGTACTTAGTAAGTTTATCTA